CATAAGTAATATATTTAATTTTAAAATTAAACTTATATTATAGGAACAAAAAATACAACAACCAACAATCAGTTCAATGTTTAGTAGAGTAATACCTCATGGAAAATCACAACAGCATAAGTTGAATGTGGCCTTACTTGAATTTATTATTACTGATTCTCAGCCATTTCATATTTTAAAAAATGAAGGATTTAAAAGATTTCTTTTTAAACTTGATCCATCATTTTCCATTCCATGTGACAAAACTATCAAATATTTAATTTCTGAAGCATACAAACTTGGTATCAAAAATTTGCTATCTTTAATAATTGATTATTGTGAATTTATTTCAATAACAACTGATTTATGGACATCAAGAAGCAAATTGGGATATATTGGAATCACTGGTCATTGGTTGAATGAAAATTTTGAACCATAAGATAATGAGCTAAAAAGAAAAACTGAAGCTATTCTTCAAAGAAAATACAATGAACTAAATTCTAAATTAAACTCAAATAATGAATTACTTGAATCATCATCATCAATTAAAAGGCAGTCATTTGCAACAAAAGAAGATACAATTTTTAATACACTTTTTGGAACTGAAAATCAACAATGTAAAAAAAAAGTAAATGAGATTGATAATTATCTTGATGAAAATATTACAGAAAAAGCAGAACCTAATACCAATCCTTTTATGTGGTGGAACAAGAATAAACCAAGATTTCTTGTATTGGCAATATTAGCATGTAAATATTTATCTATTCCAGCCACTTCAGTCCCCAGCGAGCGGCTTTTTTCAGATGCTGGAAATAATATGACAAGTAAATATACAAAACTTAAACCAAAGTTTTTCAAGAGATTCTTTTTGTAAAAAGAAATTCAAAATATATGAATATATTTGCATTGCTTGACAATGAGGTAAAATTTTTTTGATATATTATTTTTTTAAATTACATTTTTTTGTAAAATGTATATAGAAAATTTTAATATAAATTATAATTTGTTATTGTAATTTTTTATAAATTATAATTATTATTATAATTGTATTTGAATTTTTTTGACAAGTAAATAAAAAAAATAAAAATTCTTTTTATATAATTAACCGGTTTTTAACCGGTTAAGGTTTTTTGGCCGGTTCCACAGTATCTGCTTCTTCACCAGTTTTCTCATTTTCTGCTCTTAATGCAAGCTTGTCAATAAGATATGTGGCAGTAGCACATTGACGAACTGAATTGAGCCTATCTTTTAAATCCTGTGTGTAATCACAGCGAATTTTTTCTAGATGCTTATTGAGCTCCCTGGCTTTATCAAATTTTTCCATGTGACCAAGCTGTCACAACTCTGAAGGAATATTAAGAGAATCTGCAGTTTGTTCAAGCACAGGAGGTCACAATTCAGAGCAGGGTTGGTGGCCCTGAAATTGCATTTGGACTCTGATGTTAAGAAGAAAGTTGCAAAATAGTGTTTGTTTTGTATAATCATTTTCCTAAATGCTCTGTTTCTCTGATACTAACCAATTTATAATTTTGGGTAGAGGACTGGACAGGGTTTTTGCCCAATCAATTCTCTGTCCTGTAGGTTAAATTATTGTGTGATTATATACATCTTTGTCAGCAATGTGGCAAATAAGAAAAAAGTCATAAAATGGTTTGGACTTTGGTATGTTATAAATTAATCATTCCCAAATTCTCTGTTTCTCTTTAATTTTTATTTGTCAACTGAATGTGTTGTTTTTTTAAATGGGAACTTTTGCCCATATAGCCTCCTACCCTAGGTTAAGGGAGTGTAGCTCAATGAGAGCATGTATCTTATAAGTATAAAGATAGCAGTTTGATTCTGCCCACTCCTATTGTGATAGTCACCATGATCACTGGCATCAAGGAGAAAGCTGTAAAATAAAATGGTTCAGATTTGTTTGGTATGTTATGTATAAATTAATCATTTTTATAAATGCTCTGCTTCTCTTTAATTTTTATTTGACCAACTGGATTGTTATTTAAATGGGGTAGGGTTGTTGGTGAGTAGACATGCCACCAACAAGACAGCAACCCAGAACTCAAAACTCTGAATTCAGGGAAAATCCAAAACAACAACCCAGGTTGCAACCTCCCAAGTTGGAGAATTTTCAAACCAGTTGCAGACACTGACTTTATTCAAGAGGGGTATAACACAAAGTGATCATCACTCAAATGCTGATCTTCATCTGTGATCAATGCCCCAATTGATAACAGGCAGGCCTGGTCTAAAGGGAAGATAAGGGAAAGTTTTGTCCAAAGCCTTCCAACTTGTGGGGTGTTTCAACTGTGGAGAAAATTTCATGGTACTGAAGCATGTGAAAGCACCTGACTGCATGTTTGTGATAGGAAATTTTAATTAAATCTGACACCTGCAATCAACATCAGATTTATTATTCATGAGGAACTACACAATGGGAACTACAATTGATAATCAGGAAAAATAATTTATTTTGTGAATCTGAGAGATCTGGGTAGACACGCATTATTAAAAGTTTCATTTCTGGATGGCCTTAGTATCATTACTACCTAGGTGATGCAATTGTTTGTTATGTTAATGATGATATCAAACATATTGCATAATAATCATGACCATCATGAATATTTGATGGATGGAGGCATTCACATACAAGGAAATGATTAAATAGATAAGTCATGTTTGTTTTGTTTTATTAAAGATATATAATTAATTATATTTAAAATATACAATAAAAAAATTGTCAGAGCAATTACATGGAATCCAAGGCTGACCAATTACACCATTTCATGTTCCATGGTCAATCAAGCAATTATTTGAATACATTTGGTGCACTTTATAATCTTATTGAAGGAGATAGGTTTGTATGTAATTTATAATTTTTTGTGTTAATTTAGAGTCACATCTTTCTTTGTTCTTGTAGGTAGCATTTTACAAATCAAGTTATTTACCTTAATGTAATAATTATTATATCAAATTAATTTAACTAGTTTCAAAAATT